TCTATAATAATTTATAAGTTTTACGCGAAATTATTTAGAAATTAAAATGACTGACCAAGCGTAAAATTTTAAATTGAAACAAACGTGAATAACATCAATGATAAATCTCACGAGTAAATCAAAATCAATACGTTTTAAGTTTTTAACCATAAATCCAAAAAAGAGTAATTAAATACAAACATTTATAAGATAATATTTAAAATAAAATAGATAACCGTAGACAAAACGAGACGATATCGTCATTATAGATATAAGTTTTGACATGTAAGAGATATTTTATTAATGTATTATACATTATTAATCTATTATACTACATAATATAAACAAAACAACGTCGTTTTGTATAATAGCGGAGCGGGACGGATTTCACGAGGATTAATTTTTTTTTTTGAATTCGTCTTGAATCCAAACCTGCGGATCTTGTTGATACGCGTAAAACCTACGTATATATTACCTCAAGTGTACAGTATCGCGTTTTGTAGAATAGTGAATTCCAGATATCGATCCACAGGGAATTAAGTTCCTAAATCTACCAAGTACCGTAATTATACTATCCTAAACTTTATTTAGACGGTCGAAAGGATGGGATGGGAGAAATGAAGCTAAAAACAAACAAACAATAATAAAAACAACGGTCCGCCAGTATAAGCGAAGAATTCCGACGTGTGATGACTTCTAGGGTAAAATCCACCAGTGTACTATCGATAAAGACCTACAGATCCGAATCTATTGTCAATTCTATGTTCGCTAACCCAGACACTAAAATACCCTAACCCCCGTCTCCAGTGTAGTTAGAGTCTACCCACAGGTCCGACGTCTCCGTTCAGAACCTGATATTAAGAGAGCATTTAGGTCAAGTCCTTAAGGGCTACCCGAGGTGCATCACGTCTCCGTTTCCACAACCCGAGCTATGTTTTTCTAAAATCAAACGAGAAATCCTCTCTCGAGTTCATTCCCATTTAGAATCAATTCAACTGTTGGCCAAACAATCGAAAGCATTTAATACAGGAAAACATAAACAGAATCAAAGAACGACAAATAGATCACAGATCTGGAAATCAAAATCAATATATACAAGGTTTCATTTCCCTAAAAGAAAATGCTCAGTTCATTACAAACATAGCATCAAAATGAAGAACACGAGAAATCATAAACTAAACGTAAAGTAAAGCTTATGAAAAACCCGAGTCGAAACCCTCGTCGAAGCTTCCCGCGAAGAACTGGCGAAAACCGAAGAAAAACCGAAGAAAAAGTCGAGAGATAGGTCGAGAGGTAATCGAGATCTTTAAAAATGAAAAAGAGACCTTCTATTTATAGTGAAAAATCAAAGAAAAATATCTAGTCTCGATTTATGTGCCCAGATCGCGATCTGGGCTTCTTGGATCGCGATCTGGCAACCTCGAAAACTGCCCACCGCCTTCCCAGATCGCGATCCAGGAAGTGCGGATCGCGATCTGCCCCAACTTTTCGCTGCTACTGGAATTTGCCACCAGATCGCGATCCGGTGATTCTGGATCGCGATCTGGCCTCTGCATCAACTTCAAACACTTTTTTCACCCTTTTTCAGCCCGAATTCGACAATTGTGCATTTCACAAAAGTTTTAGCCCTTGAAGTTAGCTTTCTAAATCCACTTGAATCAGTCCAATCGGAGGTCGTATGCAAAAGTTATGCTTGAAATACCAAACACTGCCACAATCCGCGAGAATGCACTTTTGCACGTGTTTGGTTTGGTTCTCGGCTTCGCTTCCAAAATCGTCTCGAATCGGCAAAAATAGCTTATCTTTACCTAAAATAATAAATAAAACAAAAAAAACATAATATATACAAATAAAGCCGAAAACTCGGACGAACGAAGACCAAAACTCGAAGAATTGATAAGTGAAAATCATGCAAAATGAACACTTATCACTTGTCCTTTTCAGGACCCAATCCTATAGATGGATCTATCCGTCCGGTCTAGTAGGACGATTTTTATCGAGTTTGATGGGTTCAACTAGATGATGGGTCCGACTTGCTCACCCCTACCAAAGTCCTTTGAGTTGTGATTTTGCAAGTGTAAAAAGAGGGGCAGAGTGTTTGAATTTAAAAGAGAGAAAGAGAGTGGAGAGAAGGGAGAAGAAAGCACCTGATGATAACTTCAAAGAAATCGTATGATATAAAATCCTTCCTAACAACCGTTCTTCATTTTTATTTGAAACTTCCTGTTTAACTATTTTATTTCATTTTTGTATTCTCCATTCATTCAGTATATTTAGTAAATTCGCTTATGATTTTTTTTATATCGAAAATATAACAATTGATCGGACACTCCTCTAACATACTAACTTTGAACATATTTTCAGTTTATAATTTTTTGTAGGGGTTTTTGTGCATAAGTCCCCAACCAAACATGTTTATTATTCTAGGTTTAGGGGTTATATCTCTTTCACCAATAAACTCATCTCTTTAATATTTATTATAAATAAATGCAACATTCATGTATATGCCAATATTACCCTCAACCATTTATACCCAATTTTTAATTGTAACCCCCCAATTTAATCAATTTTGTCTACAAAAATCCAATTTTGACCACAAAAATTCAATTTTGACTTTTTTTTGTAGCATACTTTAATATGCTCCAATTTCATCCTTAACTTTATTTAATCTTAATTTGACCCCAAATTTCGCAAATTATTCAATTTTGACCAAAAAAATTTTTGCCGCCGGATTCCGGCATTGACTTTTCAAATTTTTTTTTCTTTCGGATTTTTTCGCCGGTCTCCGGCGTTGACTTTTTTTTTTTTTTTTTTTTTTTTTTGCTTTTTGCTTTTTTCTTTTTTCTTTTCTTTTCTTCCGAATTTTTTCGCCGGTTTCCGGCGGTCTCCGGCGTTTTTTTATTTAGTGTTTTTTTTTTGATTGGTTTGTTTTTTTTTTTTTTTTTACGTCTCCCGCTAAACGTTGACCGTAATTGTGCTGTCACTGACAGTAAATTAACGTAATTATACTGTCAATGACAGTTAATTAACGTAATTGTACTACCGTTGACAATACATTTATGTAAGTGTGCTGCCGTTGACAGTAAATTAATGTAATATTATTATTTTTTTTATTTTTTGTTGTTTTTGTTTTTTTTTTTGTTTGATTTGTTGACAAGTCAACGTAATTATATTACTGTCGTTGACAGTAAAATAACTGTAAACACAATAATATTACTGTCAACAACATCAATATTATTATTTTTTTGGATTTTTTGTTTTGTTTGATTTATTCACTGAGTAACGTAATAATATTACTGTATATTATTGTAATATTACTGTAAACACAATAATATTACCGTGGTTGACGGTAATATTACTGTTGTTATGGTAATATTGCTGTCAACCACATCAATATTATTATTTTGTTTGAATTTTTCGTTTGTTTGAGTTATTCACGGATTAACGAAATAATATTACTGTCTATTATTGTAATATTATTGTGGTTGACGGTAATATTACTGTTGTTATAGCAATATTACTGTCACTCACAGTAATATTAATTCTTTTGGCTTTTTATTATGTTTACATTTGTTGAACGGTCAACATAGTAATATTACTCTATTACACAATAATAATGAGTGTTGTTATGTTAATATTATTGTGCTAGAGATTAATATAGCAATATTACTGTGTTAAACAGTAGTTTAGTTAATTTTACTGTGTTTAACAGTAAGATAGTTAATATTACTGTCAATCACAGCAATATTGTTGTTTAAACGAAAAAAAAAGTAACAGAAAAAAAAAAATTCGAAAAAGTCAACGCCGGAGACCGGCGTTGACCGCCGGTCAACGTCAGAAACTGACGAAAAAATCCGGAAGAAAAAAAAAATTTAAAAGTCAACGCCGGAATCCGGCGGGAAAAAAATAAGTTTTTGAAAAAAAAAAGTTTTGGGTCAAAATTGAATAATTTGTGAAATTTTAAGTCAAATTGAGGTTAAATAAAGTTAAGGATGAAATTGGAGCATATTAAAGTATGAGGGGTTATTTTAGTCATTTACGAAAAACTGGAATATGTGTGGACTTCTTGGTAAAAGAGATTTTTGTCTGGATCTCTTTATGAATAAGTACCCATTGATGGACTTATTTGTAATGATCCCTTTTTTTTTACAATGAAGGAATCCACAACCAAGTATATATGTGGACTGAATAAATTTCCACTCTTGTGCAATTGACTATACTAGGCTAATCATATGTGACAAGCTCGATCTTATGCACCTTGATAAGAAAATTTTGGGTCAATTGACACATACTCACTTGCTACAACCGCGAGGACATCTCTTACCAGACATCGTTGAATCGATTCCACATCATATATTAAAATTATGTAATAATATTAATATGAATCGAGCATATCAATGCAGTTATTTGTTTTGAATTTTTCATACGCCAAGTAAGTACTTTTCTTGCAATTCAACCTAATACTACTTTTGTTTCTCAAACAAATATATATTGCGTCCACAATATATATATACTTCGTATAGAGAGTAAATTATTTACACCCTAAAGTATGCTAAGATAACTTTAAAGTTTTTGTGGTATTGGTAATTACAGTCACTCTTCTGAAACAATTACCAGAGCCAAAATTTCATATCCTAGGGACCGATATGGACTATAATTGTTTCCCAATAGATCGTTAATGCTATCATAGATGAAAATTTATAAATCTTATATAAAATAATAAGAATTTAAGAAATATAACGAGAGTCATGTCACCCCAAGCCTCTATGTTGTCATCACCACTGCCAGAAACTAATAGTCTGTTAAAACCCTAACAAAAAAACTTATCCAACGCATTATTCCGTTAGATTTCTTACAATGTTTTACCGGTGATTATAATATCAATATTACAAAAACCTTAAAATTATTTTAGCAATACCTGGTGGCGTAAGTATATGTATTCCACTTGATCAGATAAATATACTGGACCACCCTCGCAAACCTAAACAAATGGAATAGAAACACATAGGCGCACACAGACACACAAACACACACACAAATACATATATAAAACCCAAAGACCAGAGAGAGAAAGTTCATACTTGAAGAACAGCTACACCCCTTTTTCCCCTCACTGAAAAAGCAAATACACACACTCGTTTGCGTGAGTGTGTGTGTATAAAAAAAACCCCCAAAAAACAAAAAGGGGTTAGAAAAGTAGGGTAATTAGGTTTAGCAGGGAGGGCAAAATTATGGACCCAGCGAGTTTGGACAGGATTATCGAGAAATTGATCGATGTCCGATCGTCAAAGCCGGGGAAATTAGTGCAGCTCGCAGAAGCCGAGATTAAGCAGCTCTGTGTTGCTTCTCGTGAAATCTTCATCAGCCAGCCCAATCTCCTTGAACTTGAAGCACCCATCAAAATTTGTGGTATTATACAAATTTCCCCTCTTTTCGATTTTCAATTATTTTGTTGTTTGTTTGCCTATATGCGTGTTGGAAATTATTGATTTTTCAGATGGGTTTTTTGATACTCACTGAAATTTCGAGTGCTCTAGGGTTATGGGTGTTTCGTGTTCGTTGGTTGGCTTTGTTTGCGGTATCGTGGGATTTTTAGTACTTGGTATTTTAGGACTGTGTTTGTGTCATTTTTTATTTATTTAGTTCTTCATATGAGGATGACGAATGGTTTGTTTTTTGACCTTCCTTGGTACTGGATTGTGTTCACTTGAGGATTTTGGGGCTTGAATGCTTTCGTTCGGTTCACAAATTTTATCGTAAACTAGTTGAACAAACCTCTTCTAGATTTTCTGTTATATGATTTACATGAATTAACCTGACTGGAAAACTCGAAAAATTAGTTGCATCATCCCTTTTGCTCCCTAGAACCAAAACCGAAAACAAAGCCGAAACCGAACCTCAGCTATGTACTTAAAAATTAGGATATAATACTTTCTTTCGCATTTGGACATATTGGAATTAAGTTTTGAAATATTTCTATTCGGGTTTAGTTGTTCGGAAGTATAATTTTAGAAAACAAGAAACATAAATACAATAGTGAAAGCTTTCCATGATTACTTGTTCTCTATTGCCAATCTTGTTTGTCGCTGTTTGACTTATTAAGCTCAAACTTTATGTGCCTAGGTGCAGCACCGCTTTTTTAGTTTTAAGTGAAACACTTGTTATAAAGTCTTGTTCGTACTATTTAGACAATTGACAAATGATTAGTTGTTATAGGGAGTGGCTCTAAGCAGGATTTCACTTAAAACTCTTGGACGAACACTGAACACAGTTTCTTTTCGAGTGTCTTCAGGAAAATTTAAGGACAAGGAATTAGATGAATTTTTATTGTTTTTAGGCATCACATCCATTGTGGAATTGCACGTCATAATCGGAAGAAATCTTGAACTGTATTTGGGAAGCTCAACTAGTGATGTCAATAGCAAAATCTTCAATGTTCGATTAAAAAATTATATATCAAAGTATCCCTTGATCCTGCTAAAATTTAAACTTTTTCTAAAGAACATAAAGACTATTCCTACATTGAGTCAATTTATTTATTCAATCACGACCATGAAACATAAACTACTTGCCAATAACCAATTGACCGAGTTATCAGAGAAGATGTATCAAAAATCTATTTGAATAGGAATCCGTTTTCTGATAGATCCTCAGTTTAAAAAAATTACATTTTGCTTTCAAGTTTCTTTCTTGGTTTCTTTCTTTCTCACGTTCATTATTTTGTAAGGTCTATTTAGTTTTATAGCTATTTATTAGTTATTAGTTGCCTTTTGTCTGTCCATCAATGTCAGTCTTGTTAACTAACTTGAAAGCAAGGTAGTTAAAATCGGGATTTAAATCGTAAATACGTAATATTTTACGATTTTACACCTTCACGAATAGCAATCGTAGTGAAATTGCATGTTCCTTAAAATCGGTTGAAATCGGGAGTAGAATTGTTAACATTGTTAAAATCGCTTTTTCTTTTTTTGCAATTTTTATGATTTCAATCTTAGTCAAAATTTGAGCTGAAATTTACTAACATTCCATCGCGATTCGGGAAGAGGAAATTACATTTCTTTTATCCCAGGACCCAAGCAAGAGAACATCCAATAGCTAGTTCATTAGTTTTTAATTACGTTTAATTTATGCTAGAGTATGTTTCATTTATGCTGAAACATGTTTTATGTATGTTATGACTTGTTTTATTTGTGTTAGGAGATGTTTTATAAGTACTAATATCTATCTATCTATCTATCTATATATATATATATATATATATATATATATATATATATATACGCAACAACCGTGCGTAACCCATTTCTCATTCTTTCTTCTTTATTTCTCTTTTTTTGCTTTTTTTTCTTT